GTTGTCGTTGTTACTTTGCCTGATCTCATTTAATGAACTTTTTTTTCTTCTCCTTTTTTTCTCTGAGTGAGTGACTGTCTTTCTTCTTGCTTGTGTATGATGAAAGAGAAGAGAGAAAGAGAGAGAGAGAGGACAGAGAGAGAGACAGCGAGAACACTCGTTTAGTCTAAAGAATAGCTGAGCGAGAAAGAAAAACGAGAATAGAGCTGAGACTGATTTGTCAAGAAGTAAAAGCAACAAGACAGATTTTTATCTGCAGTTGAAGCTGAACTTGTGCAATGATTCAAGAGAGAAGAACAAGCCAAGAACGATTGGAAAAGGAAGACGTATTATTATGCTTTCTTTTGCTTTGGAAGTAGAATGTGTTTCTATCAACTTCAACGTTCATCACACAAGGTGACAAGGACGCAATATATATTACGTACTTTTTGTTAAGGAAATGAAAGAAAGAAAAAGTATCGGAAATATTATCAATAGGTTAAAGATGTTGACACACATTCATCAATCATGATCAATCGATATTTATTAGTCTCCATGACGCCGCCTGTTCGATGACCCTTAGCCTAATGACTTTCATACGCGTTAGTGAATGATATGTTTACGTATACTTAAGAAAGAATGTCTTATTAGAAACAACTGCCATTAATCAGAGTTGGTTAATTTTAATGGATCAAAGATATATAAATATATATATATATAAATGAATCATTTCATGGGAAAATTCGATATTCGTGATTGACAAACAAAAAATAAAATAAATTTTAAAGTTGCTTACTAATCCTAGAATGTCAGATAAGGTTAATTTCCTTCTTTTCAGTTGAATGGAAATAAAAAAAGGAATACGTTCTTTTTTTTTGAACAAGATACATCATGTCACGGAAATAGCTTCATGACAATTGAATTCATTAGATGTCCTACGTTACGCTCAATTAACTACTAATTCAAAATAGTTAAATTTTGATTTGAATGAAGTCATGATTTTGAAGGTGTTTTTTAATTTCCGAATGTCATACAATCAAGTTTTTTATTTAGAATCTAAACTAGATTCATCTTAAATCATATATTTAATATTACAAAAAACTGCATTTTGAATACTATTAGTAAGAAGAAAAAAGAAGAAATATTTTTATTATAAAGTATCTTCTATTAAAATCGATTGTCATCTGTTGGATCTCATCAAAGGAAATTATTCTGATATACAAGCAATTAGTTTCAATTTAGTTTTTTGTTTGATTCAATACTTATTCAATGACAATATATATTCTTCTGTCACTATCCAATCAAATAGAAAAATGACTTTATAATCTTTTGTGAACTAGGTTTTTTTTTAGATGCATCGATTTCCACAAAAACTAATGCTTCTGTTGACTTCCGACAAGTCATGTTTACAACTATTTTCTATGAATAACATTGAATGTGTTCTCTTTTGTCATCATAATACTGATTATTAAGTAGACTCGTATTATTCTTGAATGAGATATGATGCATAGTGTGATAGTAAAATCAATGCAAATCTTCTATTTTGTATGCATTCTAACTCATCTGTTGTATTAAACAAAAAGTTTTATTTTGAAACTACTATTATATAAACATAAGCTCAAGATCAAACGTCAGTAACAGTCGTTGTTTCGACTTTGATTGTTGAAAAATAAATGCTGGACGATGTCTATTAGCATTACTTTTTTTTTTAAAAAAATAATTTTTCATTGAAAGTTATCGATAAAAACTATCATATTTTTATAGAGTAGAATGAGAAAGCATAATATGAAATGTTTATCAACACTTAAAGAATTTTGTTCGAATCTGAAATATTCATGATCATTATGAAAAGTTAAAGATTAAATTTCAAAATAAAGAGAAGAATGTCAATGACATACCTTGTCAATATTGTACAGAATTTCTTTTTATCAAATTTAGTTCAATGAAAGGATTCTCTGTATATTCATCTACATACTAAATAATAGATATGCTCAAACACTAAGCTCAGATCAATCATTGTTTGTTTAATGTTATTATTCGTTGTACTCAACTCTCTTCTAAACGAACATTTTCTTCAGGAACAAATCTTGAAATAACAAACACATTTTAGATATAATGCTGCGTATGTTATTAGATTTATAAATCTAATAAAATACTTTTCATGAACAGGAAAAAAAAGTATTTTTTTTTGTCAATAACATCTTCAATAGATAGAAATCAATTGAATTTGTTTTCTTTTAGTATCTCAATAAATAATCATAGCAGAGAGAACAACGTCACTAAGTAAGAAAATATTTCATTTGTTTGTGTATTAATTTATTTTTAGCAATCTTCTGTAGAATCTCCTAATTGTACATATATATTATAGTAAACAATATGGTCAATGATTCAACAAGTATCACTGTATTCAACATTATTTACAGTTGCTATATCAGTTAAATTGATGAACGACGACATATTCATATAGTATAACGAACTCAAAAGAGTATTTCATAGAAACTAGTATCCTTAATATTTAATGCAAAAAAAAAAGTATATTTTTATATATTTTTGGATGCATTATTTATTATTGTTTATTGTACATTGTACAGAGCAACAAAAAAACTTTTTCTTTTTTAATTAAATGTATAACAAATATTAATCATCATCTAATTCTATAATAGGAATATTATCTTGAATCAGTGCTGAAACTTCTTGTTCAGTTGATTCTAAAAGAAAACAAGCACGAAAGAGAGGATATATTTTCTCTTCATCTCTATAAACAAATGAAAATTTACCTGTACGTGTTTGTTCATCATTTAAATCATTGTCAATTGAATGATCCATGTCAATTGAAGATTTTCCATTATATATATTTTCAGCTTTATATGTTTCTTTTTCACGTTGTGCTCTTCGTGAAAGTTTTTCTTCTTCAATTGGTTTCCATTGTCCATTTATTTCATATTCAATTGCTTTGACATTCAATGGACATTTACAAATAATATCAATAAAAAATTGATCAATAAATAAATCTGTATATAATGCTGGTTTATTACATACAGGACAAAGCCATGCTTCAATAAACAAACAAAAATAAGATAAATCTAATTCAACAATAAAAACATTCATAATTTTCTTTACTTGGTTTTTTTTCATTCATACGTAAATAACCTTCTAAATCAAAACAATGAACATGTTTACATGTTGTTGCTCGTCCAGGCATCCTCATTCGTACACGCATTGCTGGACATTCAAGTGGTAAACGAAGTGACGTTGATGCTACTTCAAGATCATCATCAATTCCTTGTGAAGTTTGTTGTGCTGATAATGTTTGAGCTATTGTACGTTGTGTTTCAATAGGTGGTCGGATTGCTATGGGACGTGAAATTCGTACTAATAATTGTTGAACTGTTTTACGTTCAGTTAAGTAAACGGCAGCAATATAAGGTGGTAATGGTGTTGAACTATCTTGTGTAAACCAAGATATTTCAACTAGATTAGATATTAATGGACATAAACGACAATATTCTGTTATATCAATTGGTCGACCTAGGCAGTAATAATATTAAAATATATTAATTTATTTAATAATAATTAATAAGAACATCAAATTAGAGAAAAAATCTCGAGTGAATTATTAAAGGTTTGAGAAATTTTACGAACTTCTTGACTCAAATTTTTTTCCATATATAGAGAGAATAAGAAACGCGAATTTTGGTTCAAGATCAAGTTTACCTCATTAATTGTTCATAAAAAGCTTAATTTCGATGGCTAGTTGATACACTCTGCTGTGCTCAGCAGTGTGCATATTTATTCAACCACAATGCTCAGTACAATGCCATCTTTTTGCACACTACACTGTCTTGCTGAGCATGATGTTTGTATCAATATGCATACTGCTGAGCACTAAGAAATATACGAAATATTCATAGAAATAAGATTTTTTACGAAGGATTAATGATGTACACTTTGGATCAGATTGAAAGACATATAATATCAAAGAATTATTTCTTTGAAGTATTTTATCAAAAGTTTTCCTTTTCCTTTTTTGAAATATTAAATGCATTTAGTACTTTGGTTTTGACAGAACATGAAGAAAAGGTTCTACATATTTATTATAGAATAAGTGCTCGATGAATCCATTAATATCTTTCATTTAATATATTGATCTCATTTCTTTGATGAAATAAAGGCATAAATATTTATAAATTTTATGTATTAACCTGGTCGAATAACATCAGAATTTGGTTTAGCTGTTGGTTTCGGTTGAGGCAATGGAACAACTTTATTATTAACAAAAACATAAAGGTTTGGTGGTAATTTATCAAGTGCATATTTTCCATTATTTGTTACATCACCAATCGTTGTAAATCTTAATAGAATTTGTTTTCGAAATTCAAGTTTTGATTGATCAGCATTAAAATAGGTCGACGTGGCAACATCTAAATGAAAATTAAAACAAATGATTTTTTTAATGATTTAATTTATTCATTCAAACCGGATGCTTGTTGTGCTGATAATAAAAAGTAAAAATTAAGTAAATTTTGTGATTCATTTGTTGTATGTTTAACAGGCGGAACTGGATATGGTGGTGATATAACACATAATTCTTCATTAAATGTAAGTGGTAAAAAATGTATATCAACATTTGCTGGTTGTTGATGTATAGGCAAATGATGATGTGTTGTTTTTACAGTATTTTTTAAATCTTGTGGATATGGTATTGTCGGTAAATCACCTTGACCAAAACGTTTATTATATAATTCATCAAGTTTATCTCGTATTAATTTCGAAGATTTAATTAATAAATAACATCTTTCAAGTAATTCATGACGTTTACCCGTTCGTGATTGTCCAGAATATGTTAATAACAATTGTAAATCATTAATAGATAATGATTTTAATTGAAGAACATAATGTTCATCTGATAAATTAGTCATTATCTTAAAAATAAAAAAGAAAAACAAAGAAAAGAAAATCTTTGTTATGTTTATAATTTTTTGTCTTCGATAAAATTCTTTATCACAGAAAAAAAACTACTATTAATCATCATCAATTAAAATAGGATCATGCGATGATGAAATTATATTTATGTTTGAGTTGACACCAATTGATTCATCTTCTATTTTCGATTGTATAACAGGTGTCCATTGAAGATCAGCATTAATTGTTATTTCGGTTATATTTTCATTTTTTATTGAATTTAATATTGATTCTGTATATGTATCAATTTGTAAATCATCAAATAGAGCTGGTTTATTACAAACAGGACATATCCATTTGTTGGACTTCTCATTTAAAGCTAAACGAGTATAAGAAAATATTTATATGTTCAAAGTAATATTTCATAAATTCGTTTCAAAGGTGAAAAAGAATAATAATCTTAAATAGAAAAAGAAAAACGCTCGAGGCGACTTGTACTCTACCGGATGTCTTTATAGTGTATAAAGTAGTTTCGTATCACTAATTACGCCAAGTTTAGAAAAACTTTCGATTATTATACAAAAACATGACATGTTGCTTCAACAAATTCAAGTAGAAAGAAAACTTTCTTGTCAAAAAATTTATCATAGAGAACACAATACATGTCACTTGGCTGATAAAAACTTTGAATGAATTTTTAATGCAGATAAAGGATGGTTTCTAAAAAAATTATACCGTTACGGTTTTTGAATTTTCTTCTCTAGTATACCCTTGATTAAAACATCCATTTTTTATCAAAAGATAGCACTTAGAATTCTACACATAATATCAAAATTTATTTAAAAAGTATGACTTTCTCCATTGCTTCGCATTAAACATAATAGTACAGTAAAACCACGTACAGAATGTAAAATTTTTTCGTTCCCACGTTTTTTCATAGAGTGTTTTATTTCGCGTATCAATGTTGCCTTCATTGTTACATTATTCCGATTTATAGCTTCAACAAGTTCATTCCGTCAACTGTAATTTAGTGGACATAAATCAGGTGAGTTTGATGATTACCGGTTCTTCAAGATGAATGTAGCAAAATGATCAACACATTTAAGCGATTAAATGATTTTTAATGTAGGCGCTCGTTTTTTAGAACTGAAAATATATCTTCTATGTAGTGGTGCTGATTTGCTAAAAAATCACTTTACAGATAATTAAATGAATTTGATGAAATAGAAGTAGGGTTTCTTTTGTTCAAAGTGTTTATTATATTATTGTAGTTCATTTTAACGATGTAATGCAATTAAAATATTTTTTCATACTGTTTAAGTGCAAATCATTATTTTCATCTGGTTTTTGTCATTTTCATAAATAAATATACATATGCGTATATAGGTAAAACATTTTCTCAAGAAAACAGCATGATAGAATCAGAAAATCAGGTATGAAAGGTTGCGGAAAAACTTGGAAAGTCATATAAGAATCCTATAAAGTCTTACAATGAAATTGTTTGACGTGAGAATGGATTAAAACTAAATGAAGGAATAATGTCTCGTCAATAGACTTAGAGATCATGGTGAAGTTTAGTATATTAAAAATCACAAGTTACGAAAAATGATTTAAATGATAATGTAAAACAATTTTTAAGTATCAATGACGGAGAAAAGCTCGAAATATCAAAATACATATGAGCAACAATGATGATGAACAATAAAGAAAATGACACATAACAATTAGAAAAAAGATTACTTTTGTGAACTATTGATATAGTTTTCAGTTTTGAAGAGATTAATTTTCCTTCAAAAAACGTCGATTTTAATGCGCTACACTTTTTCCTATTGGTTAAATCTTGGGTACTTCTACAGATTGACGATTTTCTCTACACTAATTAGTCTAATTGGCAAGGTATATTAAAAGATGCGAGTGTTGCAGTGTCGCTGGTCTGCATATGTACCAAGTCTTCTAGTTAATGACTTTTTTGTGGCGCTATATTTGATAAATAATCAAACTCGAAAACTAAGCGACAACAGCAGTTTGTGGCTGATACAAGCCGTTTGAGTCCATTTACAGGAATAAGGAAGCATTATTTCGACTGAAATCTAGCATTTTTCTAAGAGTCTTAATATATTCATGCTCTAAGATACACACAAAGATTCAGCAGAATAAGTATTCACAATTGATAGCGAGAGCATTAAAAGTTCCAGCTGAGCGTATATTTTTCTGAAGAAATACTGATGAGCGAATACTTTTTGCTTTAACTGTTGGTCTCCAAAGCACAATCAAGCGAAAGCTATGGTCAACTTATGAATGTATGTAAAAAAAATGAGTAAAAGAAATGTTTTTCTTACCAATATAATTTGTTAAATCAAAACATTGTAGATGTTGACAAGTTGTTGCTCGTATAGGTTTTCTTAAACGTCTTTGATCAATTGGACATGTTAATTTTAGTTTTTGATCACTAACTTCTAAACCAAGATCACGATCTTTAGCACATGCTTTAGCTACTAATTTCAATGAATCTTGACGATAAAATTTTAATGGTTTTTTTATAATTTTTTCACATAATTGATCAATTGTTAAATGTTCAACAAGAAATATATGTAATGCATATTTAGCATTAGCATATTGTACATGTAAACTTGTATTCTCTAGGCGATATGTCCATGTTATACGAAGTTCATTTTTTAATATTGGATTAAACATCATATATGATGTTAAATCAATTTCACGTCCAATACGCATTAAATCACTTTGTTGTCGTGTACAAGCTTTTGGTAAAGGTAAATTTGTTAAAGTATGTCCATTAACAATAATAGCTAAATTTGGTGGAAGATTATCTTCATATTGTCCATGAAATGTTGCTGGTTGATCAATACGTGCAAGACGTAATAGAAGACATTTACTTGTTTTATGAAGATTAAGATTAGGATCATAATCATATGATAAACCTAATTGATTACATATATCTAATGGTAAAATAAATTCATCATATGATGTATACTGTTTTCGATATGTATCATAATGAAATACATTATAACGTTCATAAACACACGTTATTGTATGATAAAATGGTAAATTTTTATAATGTATTTTATTGATTATTAAATTCTGTGAGTTATTTGTCGAGTGTTGTGAATTATTTGTTAAGTGTTGCGAATTATTAGTCGAATGCTGCAAAATATTTGTCGAATGTTGTGCATTGTTTGTCGAATGCTGCGAATTATTTGTTGAATGTAGTGAATTATTTGTCGAATACTGTAAATTATTCGTTCGATGTTGTGAATTATTTGTTGACGGTAAAATAGGAATTTGCTGAGCAGAAGAAGAAGCTGTTTGAATAAATGGTGGTACCGACAAAAGTGAAGTTTGATATTGTTGAATAACAGATGCAGACGAAGTATTTGGAATAGATGCAGTTGAAGGAGATGAAGATCTTATGTGTTGTGAATGAGAAAGAATTGGGGACATATATGAAACTTGTTGAGCAGAGCGAGAATCATTATTATTAGTTGATTGAGAAGGATTCAAATTCGGTCGAACTAAACAAACGAGACAAAATCATCCATAGTACTTTTATATATTTTGTTCAGTTGAGTTATTATTGTTGTTGTTTTTAACAATAAATGAAAACAATCAATCATTTTTATTATAATAATTAATTAACCAAATATCTCCAAAGTATTTCTAATAAAAGATGATTAAATTTAGTCCAACGACTCACGAAAGTCTAAACGAATCTCAGATGACTAATCAACATTCAACTCGATTTGAAGTTGTTTAATCACGCAAGCAATATTGAATTATACTAACTAATATAGTCGATTAGAAATGTTTCTAAGATGGATTAGGTTATTGTAATGTTCTATACATGTAATCCATGATGCAAAAGTCTTGATATAAAATATTCATTCATTTGTCGGCCACTCAAGAACAGTTGATTGAAATCAGAATCAAAATTTTTCGCTTTTCTGAATATATTTTCAAATCTTCCTTTTGGAGTAAGATTTAACAACTATCAGGGAATTTTTGTAAAACTAGTCTAAAAAATGTCTGTACCAAGCTAAATAGCGGTTTTGGTGCGATCCTCAGTTTATGTTATGGAATAACTTCAACTCGACATTATTGTGAAGCATTGAATTCTAAACACAGTGTGAGATATTAAAAATAAGCGAAATCTCTCTTTAATAAAGAACTATAATCTTTTCATGTCAAATTCCGATTGAAATTTGAATTGCTTTTAGTTTTTACGTTTGTTTTACTCCTTTCAATTTCTTCATGCAACACAATATATTTGTTATGCATGATGGTTGTGATTGTATAAAATTCAAAACTCGCTACAATAAAATCTATTTTAAAAACCGACAACTATTAACATATAGAAGCGATAACTCATTTTATGCATACATGATACTTGTCTTATCTTGATTTTTTTATTGTCACTCTAATTTATTTGTAATATTTGTCTTGTTTGAATATTTATATAATTATTATGGCTGTCGTTTGCCAATAGCAATAGAGTTCATTGTTCTTATTCAGATAATTATAGAAAGAATGGTCATTGATTTAGAAAGTGAATGTTCACTAGCAATGATGCTGAGTGTGATGACTTAGTTGAGATTATCAGAAAAAGAAGCATACTTATTCATAGATGTTTGCGCAGCTTATTAACCCTTTCGTGGCGATGGGTTCCACCGGTGAAACCCAACATATTTTAACACGAAACTGACTAGAAAAACACTTTTTCTTTCTTTTTCTCGAGCAGGAAATTACACGTAATGTATCATCTACTCTGCCTCGCTATTATTTGACTTGTTTATTGCATCTTGTGATGTTTCTCGTTGAAACAGCCAAAACAATAAAATTTGCCACAACCAGAACAGAATGTTTCTATTTTCTTTGCTGTCGCATTACTTGCTTCTCATGATGGTTGTTGTCTGATTTTCGCGTAGCAGCCAGCACAGCATCTTCGGACATTGTGGTCAGATCTTTCCATTTCTTCGAGCTTGTGATCAGCAAGTTTGCGTTTCGTTTGGCTTGTTGACCGTTGTCTCGAATCAGTTTTCAGATTCCCGAATGACGTACCGACAAGTAAAGATCGCACAAGGCTTTCACGAAACTGTAACATAGTCATATGTCTTGCGTCATAATTTTCCTTGTAAACCAAATAGGCATTAACTATTGCTATTCCAAATACCAATTCAAATGCCACATTTTGATACCATTTTACAGATCGTCTGAAGTATGTATAGTATGTTGATAACTGATCAGATAAATCTATACCTTGTTTTCCTTTATTGTAATCAAGGACGATATGTTGCTTCATGATGCATTCTTTTGCTTTATTTGCTTTTTTGGTGTCCAGCACAGTTGCTGAATACGATAGCTTTGTGGATATCATCAAAACGTCTCTTTTATCTTTCACCTTGATCAAATTTATGCCGTATTCGCTCTAGAGTCCATAAACTTCATTACACCTGAGCTTTTTCTTAACAATTTCATGCTCTGACCTAGCGCGATTACTTCTCAATGTTCCAATAAAATACTTATCATTCCACAATAAACTTTTTGCAAGAGAAATACTCGTAAAGAAGCTGTCAGCTACTACCGTTCGATAGCATCCCAAAAGACCATCTATCAAATCCATTACGACTGTTCGAGCGTGCCCAAAACCAGCCATTGAATCTTCCTTACCAGTATCAACCATAATATTCCAAGTGTATCCATTAGTAGCCGCTCGCTTGTATGTCTTTACGTCATATTTATGCGCTTTTCCAGGAATATATTGTTTGAACAAAAGTCTACCTTTCCATGGTACTATTGTTTCGTTGATAGAAATAATTGAGCAAGGAATGTAGATCGACTTAAATCTAGCTTTCAATAAATTTAAAAGTGATTTCAATTTGAACAAACTGTATTGGTCTGCATGCTCTTCATCGTCGTTCGACAAGTGATAAAATGTGAGAAGTAATTCACACTTATCTCTCGACATTGTATTTTGAATGACTTCGAATCCGTATGTTCCACTTTCGCTTCAGTAGTAATCCACTTTCGGCATTTGCACCAATCCCATCTCAGTAATAATTCCCAAAAATTTAAGCATTTCTTCATTAGTAGTTGGTTTCTATTGAAGAGTTTTTTCATCGTTTGCCGAGCTTCTGGGTTTATAAGTGTTGTTTTGCATATTGATTAGTTTCACGAACCATGAGGCTAATAATCTCGTCCGTGATGAAATGTCAATAGCAATCAATAGGATTGATCGTATTATCTTCCGAAGTTGGTGTTACTTCTTCAATGATTCTATGATTTTCTTGGAATTCAACATCCGATTCTGATTCTATGCCATCCCAGACTTGTAAATCTGCGTCATCATCAATAACTTCTTTCTGGAAGCTTGAAGATTCAAATTGCATTTTGAAAAAATCATTGTACAAACTACTCACATCACTCAGTGAGTTATCACCTTTCTCTGTATTCGTTTCTTCAAACAGCATGTGACTTGTAAACTTTGATGAACGTGATTCCAGTTTATACTACTGATATTTCGAGTAGGATGATGAGTAATACATATATATGGACAAGTTGGAAAACTACCATATACGAAAGGAGATAAAACTAATATATCATGTCGGGAAAATTGTGGCTACGAAATATGGATATTTCCAACATATGCAAATGTTCTAGAATCTCCATCTGAGCATAAATCATCGTAAAATTCCGGTCTTTTTCATACAAATGAGAAGCCAGAGTCAAAGATAATGCTACGAAAAGAGTGTGATAGAAAAAAAATTGAAATTTTATTTTTTTTACTTCGTTTCTACTGTATAATACATGTAGCAGAGAGTAAAACAAACTTGGATAACTATTCAGTTCGATATGAAAAAAAGACCTTCTATGCAATGATACCAACGATAAAAACAAAAACCAATGGTCGCACACACTGAAAATATCAACGAGTGCATTTATCGAGAATGAATACACGTAAAAACGAATGTGTTGAAGCTATTTTCTACAAAAATCGAATCGCCGCGAAAGGGTTAAGGATTATCTGTTGTTAAAATAATCTACATATTATGTAAAGAATGCAAAAAGCTACTTAGAAATCGACAAAAACAAAGATGAAGATATTAATATCGATAAAAAAAGGAAACGATAACAATGAATAACTTACATTAAACACAAATATCGAAAACAATACGTATTAGGATGCTTGACGGACATTAAAGCTGTTGCTTTTCTATACAAATCCATTATCATCTATATGAATCATATAGATTTTAGAAAAACCTTTTTTATATGTTTTTTTGCAGACATTCTCTTTCAATTTTTGAATAAATCCAATTCGATGATTTGTTGGTAACGTTTATATCATTAGCTAGTCCAGTGTTCTTTAGCAAACATCCAAGTAGGGTAGTACAACAATAAAACTTCCTTTCAGAATAAGTGATTATACAAACTATTCTTCAAACTGAATTGGAGACCAAAAGACTATAGTTTCTATAGAAATTTTCATGGGTCAGAAACTGCTTTTAAAACTACAACAAATGTAAAAGTCTCTCAGGAAATAGTAAATAGTAAATAGTACGCTTTGTAGAGTTGAATTCACTATACACAACTGAACAGTGAAATATTGTTTTGTATTTCGAATTTAATAGGTTTCAATTGAAACCTAAAAATTTACTGGAAAACTATTCCGCACAACCGCTATTTTGGATGTTTTGAAACAATCGGAAAGAATTTTCAAGCATATATTCGGACAGAGCGAAAAATTCTAATACTAGTTCTAAACAGTTATTCGTTAATGATCGGATATTTTATGTCAAGACTTTCACGCTATAGGTTATAATAACACAATGTACACGAATAAAATATAGATAGGTCTTAGCTACATTTCAGAAATTAACTAAAGACTTACCTAAAGTTTGCTAGTATGACTTTTCCTATTGATGAAAAGCGAGAATCTCACAACTAAATGATGGTTTATGGTTGTAATCAATATTTGAAAAACGAACAAGTTTAGAAACGCATTAAAATGATCTGTAATTAATAGGTAAACTAAATGTTCGTCAAAAAGATTTTAAAAAATATATAAGTAAGAGCGAGAGGCGATTATTATGTTTTTCTTTCATATTTGCACTTTCGATAGTAGTTAAATCAATTGATCAATCTTCTTTACAAAGAATAATAATAAATTAATGTTCGATTAATCATAATTTTTTAAATATTTTACTACTTATTTACTTGCTCGTATATGTTGTGGTATGATTGCTGGTGATGATAAGCGATAGTTCGGTTGTCCACCATATTGTATTGTTGTATGTGTATAATAAGCTGGTTGTTCTTGATTATATGGTGTTCGAAAATTTGATTGTGTTTGTTGTTGTTGATAAAAGTCTGGTGGAAAACGTTTTTGTCTTACAGCCAGTAATGTTTGTTCTAATTCACTTGAATAACAATTATCAATAAGTGTGAAACATTCTTGAAAAAGTCGTGTACGTGCATAATGTTGTAGTTCATTTAATATTGAAGGCGCTCGTAAATGTTTCGTAAGAATTAAACGTAATTGATCATTATCTAATTCATTTAATAATTGATAAATACGTGTACGCTCTTCTTGTGAAAGACCATAACTTTGATTAATTGATGAATTTATTATAGATGATGATGATTGCATGTTTTTAATGAAGGATTTATATATATGAATAAATATTATGAATTAAAAATGTTTAAAATATTGAATTACATTAAAAATAATCACTATTCATAAGAAAGTTTATTTATCAAAAATAAAAATTTTCGATTTTAATATGAAACGCTTGACTGACTAGTCATAAGAAAAAGATTCGTTAGTTATCAGTGAATCATATTATACGAGAAGGTCATCTAGAATAGAGTATTTGAAATTTATATATTGTAGAAAGATATTAAGAAATGTATTATTGAAAAAATAAATCAATTAAGTTTATTGTATTTTTTTATTTTATATTAACGACATCTATTATATGTAGAAAAAAGATTATCTACTTGGAAACTGTAGGAGAGACATTATAAGATGGCTAAAAAAGCTAATTGAACAAAGAAGTTCAACTTAAATTTACTCATAACAAAATGTAAGTTATATTAGATTGTTTTTTCCTTGAAATTTTTATAAGAAATAAAAGGTTACTTGAACTTTTTGTAGTGTTCACTATAACAGATGACTAATTATGTAACAGAATATAATTTCTATTTGTAAAAATGCATTGTTTATTCTTCGTTGAATATTTCCATCAACCATATTTTTTTAAAGAAGAATCTTATTGATACATTGATAGAATGAAAGAGAAATCTTTCTAACTAATTAATCTGTAAAAGCATTTACAGCAGAATTATTTCATTGTGAGATAACAATTTATATATGAATTTTTTCGGAGATTGGTCAGTTGAACAGATAATCTTGAATTAAATATTGTTTATAATGATATTAGATGTTCATAGTAATTAAAGTATAAAATTCTTCCATATATAATTTTATTTGTATAACTAAGTAGAGTTTGTCTGTGAACTTTTTTTAATTTTAAATTTGATTTTGCTTATAAGAATATTCGTCTACATAAAAACTATTAAAAATAACAAGAACATCAATTCAAAGAAAATGCTACAAGTATGTCTTTATTACTATGAAAGCATGTTAATATTCTTTATTTTGAGTTAATTGGCTTTATCCTATTGCTTATATTGAACGTAAAAATTCTTCACTCTTTGTATTAAAAAATATACGAAACTCGAGATGAGGTAATATTTTGGGGTGCTGTGCCTGATTTTGAATTCATTATTTTATTGAACTACAAATAGTACTAATATATTATTGCCTGAACTGAATTGTTCGTTTGACATGTAAATTTCCACTCAAAATTAAATTGAATGTTGATAAATTAATATAAAAATGAACTTAGAATTGTTTTGTTTAGTTATATGCACTTACGGTTCGAACTGGTTGGTAATTGACTGCAAACAAAGATGTAGATGCATTTCCAATAAGACTTAGTCGATTAATATGAATAGTTAATGTTTAATTCATTGAAATATTTTTTTTTTATTTCTGACGCAGAATAGTATCAAAAAAAAAGCTTCATATACAATAAATATGAAGTAGTCTCACTAACCGATAAAAGCTGCTTAGCTTATATTTCACTCATGAGCGTGACTCAATGAGAATACAAAAAACGTTAAAGCAACTGGCTACCGTAAATCTACTTAGTTGGGACAGAAGAATATTATATTTAAAATGTGCTACATGCATACATGGTTTCTTGTCCTTGAGTTGTAAGATTGGCGCTATTTGAAACACGAAATTACTTTTTTTTGATAGCACTTCATAGATAGACACGTATGTACTAGCATTCATCGTTGTAAAACACGATCGGATGGAATTCGAACGCTATTGCCAACATAGATCATGGTGATTATTTTTGTTTCTTTAAGACTCTATCGAAAGACAAAACAATTAGTGACAATAAAAGATTTTCCCAACATATCGTAAAAATAGAAAGCCATTCTTAACATTTAAATGCCTTTAGCTGCAGAGTTTACTCCGTCAAGTGAATAGAAAACACAATTTTTACGATATTTTCATATCGTACCCTACTGATCTTTAATGAAATATAGAAAATTTTTTATTTATGCATATTTCAAAAAAGCAGTTTAGATTCTAAAATGGTTCAATCTCGTAATGCAAGCAAATGAAGTCACATATATATGTTGTCCGTTCTCCATATGAAATGTTCATATTTCAGTTACATGACCCTGAAGGAGTAAATCTTTTGAGGTTTTTTCTATTTGCACTAACAGGAGAAGTATCTGACTTTATAGCATTCGATTGAGCTTACATTAAGGTTACATTCTTTTCGGCTGAAACTACCAGGATGTTCTACAGATGATTAGACTTATCTATAAGTGAAACTTCAGATCGAGATTTTTTTTTCTTTGATTTTTTTAGTAAACAATTAAAAGTGAATCAAAAAAAATCCATTAAAACGACCACAGCTCGGCTGCAAAGGCTCATGAAGACAACTCTTTTTAGGTCTTTGTGAGTCGCACTATGATGTTTTCATAGGCTCAAACGGCAGGTACCAGTCTGAGCGATTCGCTCATGAGTTGTGCTTGGGAGCAAGATGTAATCGAAAAATTTCATTTCAAAAAGTTGATAGGATTCTCTTGTTAGTTTAAGTGGTAAATGAACATCTTAAATTATTTCGTAAACAAAAACATGAAGTATAATCCTTCTCATCAGAAGCAGACTCTTATTTAATGACTTTTTAAAAAGCATTCTGAATCTTTTAAAATACGTGTACCTCATCACTGCATTCTATGCACATCGTATTCAAGATCATGCCCACTATATTTAAATTCTGCGATAAAGCAGCTTCATATTTGATATAAAATATATTAGATTATATCGATCTACCAGGGAAGTGCTCGAGCTTATTCTAAACTTTTCAATTCTGCTTTTGGTTATCATTATGTTTTAGTGCGACGACGAAAACTCTAAAACTGTTCTCTCGATAACGAATATTCATAATCACGCATACTTTTAGAAATTTTCTCAATCTCACTTATATCTACTTATAACCAAAAGATGAAATCAAAAGCTTGAAACCAATTGAGATATTTCCCTGGCTAATGATAGTTACATAACATCATATAGAACTTCATCATAATATCTAAATTTTATTTCATAAAATAAAGTCTTTTCATTTAGTTAATGATGTCAACAACACCTTCATTTCCCGATCAAGTCAAAACCAGTTTGATAAATATCTGTCATCTATTTACAAAATGTATTCAACGTTACGCTCTTCATTGCAGTACAGATGGCCGTTTTGCTCAGTTAATCTTCGGTGCCGATTTAGTTCGTGCTCATAGATCTCTATCAAACAACGATTCTCCTGCTGGTATTACGCAACTTCTTACTAATCATTTTGTTTCTTTTGAAGAAAAATTAGGTACAAATGTAAAAACATTAGCATATTTTATACATAATTTATTTATGGATCGTTCTCTTACTGAGATGAATACATGCGAAAGACGTTTACATTTATCAAATATCAACGAGAAATTATCTTCAATTAAATATATTTCAACAAATAAAAGTATTGTTAAAAAAGAAGATCTTGATATTGAATTATTAGTTGGTCATATTCTTGATACATTACCACGGTTAATCTTTGATCGCCAAGATTTCTATCACAATCTTCTTTCTCATTTAGTTAAACGTAGGTATTTACTTTTTTTTGTGGAGCTCAGATATATTTTCGAAGAAGATAGTGAATGTAAGTTGTAATTGAGTTTTTGTGGTTCTCCCTTTCCTTGGTTCTAGCAAGCGTAAGAAGAAGATCAACGGTAATTAAACACTTTCTGGAATCTGTCGAAGCATTCTATAGCTCTAAGTTTTCTACTGCAGATTGTAACTAGTCTAAATATTGCGATTTTTAATATTTAATATAACGAACGAATATTATTCAAAGCTGTAAATTAGTTAATTGAAAAAGTAAACAGGTATTTTAGAAGCTTTCGATTTCATTTCAATTTTTGAAACCTTTGTAACATATCGTAAAAACCTGCGAAATTTTTCTTAGAGTTTTGTAAAACTCTACAATATCTGAAAAAGGTTTCGTAGATCGCACGAAATCATAATACAGATTTTGACTTTGTTGCAAATTTCAGAGCCTATTTTATTTTCAGAATAAAGCGGTTGCATTATTAGTTTAGTAGAATCAGAAACAGAGATGGAGTCGATCTCGATTTTACACGATCATTAATGGTCTGTGTAGACTAAACTGGACGGACGATTCACGTACTATTCCATTTATGGATAGTGATATTTGATGTAGTCAACTTTTAGCAAAGTTTTATTACACCCTCGTGTATGAGATGATAGGAACAAAAACATAAAAAAGAAATTCAAGTAATAGTCAGTCTGCAATTGGTACCGATTCAATCTCCGATCCGAAGAGAATGAAAATAGAGTGGTATGAACATTTAATCAATGTATATAACAGATTCATATGGTGACTGAACTGACTATAACGAAGAATCAAAAGATATTTATTCGTTTCCTACAGCATTTATCGTATATTTTAGCATTAGCAAAAAAAAAACTTCTGTATTGAATATGTATTTGACGACACAAATAACGATGTTAAATAAATCTAATAAATTGGTAGAACCGTAATTGTAACTGCAAATATTTTCGAAATGATAAAATTTCAGAGCACGTACATCAGCTATGAAGATTGTTATTATTTTGGTTTATTTGACATTTCTTTCTGCCAATGTACCATAAATTTATAACAATCAGTTTGTGAGTTCTACACTTTGGTCTTCCATGAAGTCTGCACTTAGATGTTCTTTTTATTTATTGACAAGACATACATTTGTATTTTTCTTTAGATAATCTCGATCGAATCGATGACTATTTGATTTATAATCAACAGTTATCTTTTGTTACAAGCGGTTCTTCGATAAAACAATCACGTTTAATTGATGGTATACTTTTACCAATTTATAATTCCCATAAATTACTTTCATCATTCATTTCAAATAGTCAAATAACAATTGTATTTTTAAATCTACAATCAACAGAATTTGATAAATCATCATTATTTACAATAATCGATCATAATCAAGAATTTA